GACTTCACCATGAAGAACTCAAGAAATTGAAGATAAACTGACGCTCGAAAGCTTTCAGTTTAGGAGGGTGTTAGTAATAAAACTCCTACTTTTTAGGTTTGTCCTAGTCCTTAGGAAGTAGTTTAACGTGGTTTTTATTATCTAGTTTTTAGGAGAAAACTTTGTGGGGTAGTTCCTAATTTTTAGCTTAAGTTTGCTATGTTTTTTCTATTATAAAAAGACTGCAGTTGCAGCATTGTAGTCAATCAGTCAAGCAATTTCTTTTTCACGTCTATTGCCTCTTTCTCTGCTCTATTTTTCACTTATAAATCTTCATCCTTTTCTGATCAATTTTCTATCAATACTAGGATACACTCAACTCCCAAGTCATCTGTTAACCTCCTGCTTTATTTTTGGGTATAAATAAATTTCACGTTTAAAAAAATAGAATTAACAATAAATATCAGACATGATAATGTATAAATTTCTTGTTGGTATAAAACTATACAAGTTATGAAGTTAAAGTCAATTACGTTAAGCCGTTCAAGATATTTGTTTGATTGGATACATATTTTATTATTATAAAATAGAGAGGATGTTATAACAAATTGTGTACGGTCGAAAACGAGTTCGTCCATTGTTTGACCAATCGAGGTTAAATTATGACATGTCAAAGTTCGAGTTTGGGTTATATCGAACCATGGTGCAAAATAAGATCGTCGAGCTCGTGACCTAGAGACCGATCTAGATCGAGATCGAGCAAGATCGAGACCGAACAAGATCGAGGGAAACTTATCGAGCCAAATAGCGGAAAGCCGAAATATCCGCAATCGGTCGAGTATCACAACGGAAATCCCGGCACGTATCAAGAAGATGCCGATTAATTAAAAAATCATGAGATTATTTACCTTGTACAGAATTGTACTAAAAGTAGGACACCCCCCACTATATAAAGGAGGGTTCTGATCATTTGTAGAACACATTGTAACACGCAAAAAGAGAGCAATATACTGATCATTTTTAGTTCTTATTATCTTGTTGTTCAGTACTAACACTAGTTGAGGCATTTATTGGCTCGAGGGTGATCAAACTCAGAGGCTAAGGCTGGTCAATTTTGTGGTTTGCATTTACTTTATTATTGTCAATTTAAACATTAATCTGCCTTCTTAATTTTCTATCAAGTTATATCACGTATCCTTAAAATCGTGTATAAATTCAATTGTTATCCAATTTTAAGGGTAAACAGTTTGGCGCCCACCGTGGGGCTAAGGATAATAGTGATTACCTGGTATAAACTTTCATAACACACACTATTTTACACTTGTTCTTTGGAGTATCTTTGATTCCAGGACCAACATGTCAAACTCTCAGTCAGCACCTCTACACGTTGATGATGATTTCGGCCACCACGGCGAAAATGATAACATAGAACCACGGAACGACATACTCCTGGTTGGCCTTGACTGAGTTTCGGCTGTAGATCCAATCGACGTCAGCTCACATGTGTCCTAAGGGCAGCATCCGCGGAGACGTTCGACCGACTCCTCAAAGCACTCGTGGCGGCAAAGATGGCGGGATCAGCCAACGGATGATCTTCAAAATAATACATGCTCAACAGGCGGCGATTGTCAGCTCCGAAACCAGAATCACTCATCGAGTAGGATTGAGCCCGAGCCATCCCAGGAAGTTGTTCACAGGGTCGAATCATTTTCAAGGAAATCGAATGGGAAATAATCGGAGACCAATCCTGCAATCATGAAGATTCTCAAAGAATTGACAAAATGGATTTAGTTGGGGGAAAAGAAGATCGAGGCAAACGACAAGAAGGTGGAAACTTACAATTTTAGGGTCGATCAAATCCTGGGGGCACCACAAATATTGAAGGGACTAGACTCCAAAAAGTTCGTGCAAAAACCTTTTCCCCCGAGCAAGGCTCCAAAACCGATCCCTGAGAAATTCCGTATGCCTAAGATTCCTAAGTACAATGGAATAACCGATCCAAACGAGCATGTCACCTCTTACACATGTGCTATCGAAGGGAATGACCTAGAGGATGATGAGATCGAATCTATCCTGCTAAAGAAATTCGGAGAGACCTTGTCAAAGGGAGCTATGATATGGTACCATAATTTACTACCTATTCTATTGACTCATTTGCTATGCTTGCAGATTCTTTCGTAAAGGCACATGCAGGGGCCATCAAGGTCAAAACCAGAAAATCGGACCTTTTCGAGGTAAGGCAGAAGGACAATAAAATGCTAAGGGAATTCGTGTCTCAATTC